ACACATTCATCTATCGGAAAGCAACCTGGTGTTCAATATTTTGCCCAGACTGCAGACTGGAGCAGCAAGGACCTGAACTACCAGCTCTCCAATTAGTAGATGACCTGCTCTACCTGCTGAGCTACAGCCACTCTCTACTCAGAAAAACGCACACATCTCTGACAGATGATCATGTATCAAAGCCTTCCTGCAAATAAGATATTATCAGTGCATCTTTTTAACATGAGAGGAAAACCAAGAAGCAATATTTTAGCGCGGATCAGCTGTGCGCGTGGGTGGATGCAAGCTGCAGGTAGCTCGCTGGTGACACTACCCTCCTCTCTTACAGGCTGGTTGCATTTAAAAATCATCAGTTCACTTTGTTTGACAGGTTGTTGACTAGATATGGTTCACGGAGCAGGCAGACACAAGGCAGATGTTTCATGCAGATGATAAAAATGAATTAATTTCAGATGGAAGTATCATGTGGGCATTATTTTTTTTCTATCGCTTAGACCTGTAATAACCTCACTGTGACTTTTACACACCTTTCATTTTCTTGTTGGCACTAAACACAATTTGCTGTCTGCCGTGTTGTGTCTTTGGCTGGATTAAAAGACTAGCTAATAAAAAATAGGTTACACTATACACAACATATGTAGAAGTACTGACAAGATATTCCAAGTATCTTTAAGTGCAGTTAAAAACCCACCCACAACCTCGTCTGTCGCAAGAAAACAATTAGACATATGAAACAGAGATCAGGTAGTATCAGACACGCAAAACCAGTTTCAGTCTGAAAGAATGGCATAAGCTGAGTCACTGAATCAAAAAAATAAGGCACCTGTTTTGGGCGTTGGAGGTCAGAAATATGTGGAACTTTACTCATATAGAGCACAAACAGTCCTGAGTTCCTCGTCTCTGCCACATCATAGAAACTTATCAGGGTGTAGGAATTATTCAGATCCCCAAGAATAAAGCCAGAACAGCTCATTAAGAGTCCCGCGTTGAGGAGCTTTGTTTCAGCAAAAGTAATGAGCAACAGAACTGGAATAACTCATTATGCAGACGTGTAAAATCACTAAAAAGTGATCCATTGTGATTCACATGAAAGACACCGAATTACTGCCCGTAATCACAGCGATTACAAAGTGAGGCTTTCATCGTTGTTTATGGCTCCCATTGGTTCCACTGCCAGTCAAATTGCCTCAATAAAATGGATTTCTGCGTTTCCATGACACGAAACAGGCGTGTCGAGGCTGAGACGCTGGCCCCAGTGTTAACTGATCTGCCTCCAGTAATCGTGTTGTGTGCAGGCATGTGAACAGATAAGACTAAGGGTGGAGGGTGAAACATCACCTGTACCCTGTTTGTATGTAGAATTTCTTTTTTTCCCTACACTTTATTTCAGACAGAGTGTTTAGCCACCACAGGTTTTAAAACAGATTCAGGTCTGTGTTGTTGCTCCTGACAGACTCCAAACTGCAGCTATGACCTTTCACCTCATTTTTCAGGGAGCCGAGTGTACGTGTATTTATCCGCAGGGACTGATCAAGAGTCAGAGCAGGAACAATTTCACTTCAAGTCAGAAAGACACTGTACACGTGAACGTAGCCAAATCTGTTTTTTTCCCATACAGTACTCTGTGGTACATTGTGTTATTCTTTTAATCCATGATTATATAACATGCCTGCAATGTTTCTTTAGGCTATTGAGTTATTTCTTAAGAGCATTGCTTCCCAGATGTATTAAACGACCCTCCCTGTGTTTGTTGTTGCATTTGTTCAGTTCACTTGCTGACTTTCTTGAGACAACAAGCAAGACGGATTAGGCAAGCAGGTATCTCCTTTATAGGGCGTCCTCAGAGGCAAGTCGGTACTTGAACAACAGGCCGTCGTTGCGCATGTCAGCCAAGGAGGAATGCTCAAGATCTGTCGGTATGCAGCCAGGCAATTATTCTCATATACGTCAGTTGTTAAGTGCCTTCAGAGACAAGCCTATAATTTCCCAATTACTAACCCTCATTGGAATTACTTCGACGCATCTGTGTTTATCCTGAAGCTGTTGATCTCTTTTTGAACCACAACCTGTGGGACACACACATAACCTCATGGAAAAATCAATAATTGAACAACTTTCCAGGAAGGGTTGACCTTTGACATTTAAGTTCAGGAAGTTAATAAAGGAAGAAGATGAAAGATAAGCAGGTTTGAATGTTGTTGATTGAGTCATTAATAGTTAATTTCAAAAAGAGCTCCTAAAGGGGATATGATGCTTCATTTACTATTATTTAGAGCAATTAAAAAAACAGATGTGTGAGACGTAATGTTCCACCTCACTGTTACTGTCAGTGAGGCGAAACATGGCGGAGCATTTAGATTTATGGAAATGATCACCCTCTCCATTGTCTGCATTCTGACACGCACAGATACGTTGGCAGTTTGAATTTTGTGGTTATTGAATAGCTCCTATTGAGAAATGCACCCTTTAGAAACCAAAGACGGTTTGGCTGAGCAAGCTGGAAGGATGAAACTGAGGCAGGAAGGCAGTGTCACACAGCAGGTTCCTAAAAAACTACTTCTGGTAAAACAGCACAGAGAGGGAAGCTGACTCAATGCACAGTCAGTAAACATTACACTCCCTTATGGAAACATGACAGATTAGCCACACAGGGTGGCCAAATTTTTCCTGCAATACTTAAAGGGAAACAATATATTCTAGGTAATCATAAAAAAGTGACTCACCCTTCATATGCGGGTGAATTACATATGCCTCAGCAGGTTTCACACTTAGTCTCATGCGAAAGAAGACAGGATGATAAAATATTTACATAAGACAGGCCTGACAAAATATTGACTTAGCAAATTTCTTGTATGTAAAATCGATTACCATTCAGGCAGTGTTCTTAAAGCATGTAATCTTTACTGACTGCGTCATTTATGCAGCTGTCATGTGGCTGCTTCTTCTTCATTTTCATATGTGGCAGCATTGTGCATCTTTACTGTATTACTTTTTTTGGCAGTCCGTCCAACACATATCAGGAACACGCTAAACCCAGGTTCACTGTGTCTCAGTGTGTTTATATGATACTACTTCACGTCCTTTACTTTCTAATCTTTTGGACTTCTTGTGCATTTTCACTGTTCCTCTGTCTAGTTTTAAGATCATCTCTAACAGTCATTACACTGCTGTAAGTTGTCACATTTGCATGTTTCACATCATCACACAATATTAAACAGAGATGACCCGAGCGGTTAAACACTTTATTTGGAAAACTGAGTTCAGTTTCACTAACCACATCAAGGCCTGATTACTAGCAGACCTGTTGAATCAAGAACTCTCTGAACCTGAATCAGATAAAGTGAAGTAGGCTAAAAGATCTCAAAAATTAGCACATCATGCCCTGATAAAAAAAAAAAGAAAAGAAAAAGAAATGAGAAACAAATTAATTGAAATCTATCACTTTGGAAAATGTTACAAAGGTTTGTTTAAGGCTTTGGGTCTCCAGTGAACCACGGTGAGAACCATTATACACAAATAAAGAAAAATCAGAACAGTGGTGAACCTCTTCAAGAGTGTCTGGCTGACCAAAATCACTCCAAGAGCGCATCAACAACTCTTCCAGAAGGTCACAAAAGAACTCAGAACAACATCTAAAGACCCGCAGGCCTCACTTGTCTCAGTTTCTGTTATGTAAAATTGATTACTATTCTAGTGCATGTCAGTTATGAAATGAGTAGGCTGTGTTCTCTCAGCCAGTGTTGTTAAAGCATGTAATCTTTACTGACTGTGTCCTTTATAAAGCCATCGTGTGGCTTCTTCTTCTTCAATTTATGTTGATCTCTTCTTAAACCACAAGATTTCCATCATCTAAAGACCTTAAGACTTCACTTACCTCAGTTAAGGTCAGAGTTCAAGATTTAATAATAAGAAAGAGACTGGACAAAAATGGTATCCATGGGAGAGGTCCGAGGAAAAATTCACCGCTGACCAAAAAGAACACAAGGGGAACCATCATGATGTTTGCCAACAAACATATTGATGGTTCCCAAGACTTTTGGACCTACTCTGTGGACGGATGAGACACAAACTGAAGTTTCTGGAAGGTTGAGTCCCATTTCATCTGTTGTAAAACTGTATCATATCATCAGTCAAACATGGTTCTGGTAGTGTGATGGTCTGGGGCTGCCATAGTTGAAGGAACTATGAATTCTGCTCTCCAGAAAATCCTGAAAGAGAATCTCTGCTCATCGGTTCACACCTTGAAACTCAAGTACACTTGGGTTATTTAGCAGGACAATGATTCAAAACAGCAACACAGCAGTCCATCTCTGAATATTTTTTTTAAAAAGGGGAAGGGGGAGGGGGGTGAGTGGCCCATTACGATGCTTTCGCACTTACTCAAACGGGCTGTTCATGCTCAAAAACCCTCCAATGAGTCTGATCAATTCTACAAAGATGAGTGGGCCAAAAAGATGTGAAAGACTCATTGCCAGTTATCACAGTTCTTGCTGTGAAAGTTATTGCTGACACAACCAGTTATTAGGTTTATGGGGCCAGGTTAGTTTGGATACCTTTTTTTCTCTTAATAAATTTGTTTGTTGATCTAAAACATGTAAGGGTGATAAATGTGAAGAAAAGAGACAGACAAGACAGACAGAAAGACACACACTGTAAGAAAGAATGAAATCAGTGAAATCAGCAAGAGGGAGAATACTATTTCACAGCTGTGGTAATTAAAACAACCGCAAAATAAGGAGAAATAGAAATGTTTTGGTTTGTGGGTTTAGAATATAGCTCCAAAACTCACTACAGCAACCTACCAAAGCACTTTTCATATAGTATATAGTTTTTTTTTTTACCTAAACCATTAATCTACTAGTTTTACTTGGAATGGATACATCTAAATTATTTAATTATTTTTCCATCAAAGAGCTGCAATTAACTTTAACAGTATGTTAATGCTTGTTTGTTTTTAGAAACCTACTTCCGGGGTCGCTGAGGTTTCCCCACACTCTCATGCTGCGTTTCCGGCCCCGCCTCCCTTCGAGCCGAAGCCCAGCCTTCCTTTGAGGAGACCCCGCCTCTGACAGGTTACGGGGGCGGGGCCAGGTTGTGCAAAGATGGGAGAGAGGGCAGTCAGTTAGAGCGTCTCTCGCCACAGCTGTGCGTTCCTCTCTTCTGTTCTCAGTCGTCTTTTCCTATCCGGCAGAAGGATACAAAGAAAGGGAGACACCATGAAATAGAGACGTAGTATGAACGCGTCGGGGACAACAGAAGGACGAGAGCAACCGAACCGGACAACAGTCTAGCCCCGGACACGGATACTATTATCCCCGGAGCTTCTCCGATGAGTGCACTGGATTTTACCCACCAAAGAGCGTCGAGACCGGGGGGGAGTGGGGCGGACATTATCGCGCAGGTAGGGTTTTGTCGCCTCGGTGTGAGAGACCCGGGGCTCTGCGGGCTGTCCTGTGGGGAAGCTGGGCATGCTGCAGTGCTTCTCTGTGTGTTTCTCTCACACGGACAGCCCGCAGAGCCCCTGGTCTGCTGATCAAGTGTTTCTGCTTAAAGAACGACGAGAGCTGCCGTTTGTGTAGCGGAGCGCTGAAACAAGTCTCCGGGGTGTCCCGCTTGTCTTTTGTCGCTGCTCGGCATTTGCGGTGCCGTGTGTGTCTCTGTGTGTATATATGGGACTGTGTGTGTATTTGTCAGCTGTAAAGCGTACGTGCAAAGTTGCTCGAGCAGCGACGTGTGAGCGGCACGTAGACGGCAGGGGCCGCGTATCGGACTCCCGTGATCAAAATACACCGTCCCGGGAGAGGGAGGTTTTGTTACAATTGATGATTTTATCGCTCCCGTTCGGATACGCAGCTGTAATTGCAGGAATGACGTTAGCAGCACACCAAAGAAAGGCACAAGAAGGAGGAGGAGGAAAAAGCATAAGACACTGCAATTATATGTTCTCGTTTTTTTTTTTATGATTAATCTGAGGCTGGAGCCCAAGTTCCCTGCTGTAGGATTAGGTAATATTTTTCCGCTTCAGTTGGCCTGTTGACTGCACTAAGCTGCTTCACTAACGAGACTCTGTATAACAGGCTGTTCCTGTAATATTCCTATAAGGACGGGTTTATAATGACCGCAGATGATGATGATGATGGTGGTGTAACATGTGCTGGGTCATTCTGGGACCAGAGCAGTTTTGGTCTGCGGAGGGAGGGGGTGAACTGGTTTCGTTTCGGTATATAGAGGGTGAGGGTTTTCCTTTCCAGGAAAGAAAAGATGAGTTTATGATATGGGCTAATACCTCGTCCGAGCGACACAGACTATTAATCATTTCTTTATGCGCTAGGATGACTTCACCTTGGAAACTAGGCTTAAAGGATTATAGGTGTTGTCTTTGATGACTACCTCTTTCTCTTCTCTTTCTCCTTCTCCCAGGACTGACGGGCTTTCACAGAAGCTCATGGACAAAACTTTGCACATTCTCCAGAAATCCACAGATGGTGTGCCGACCGGGATCACCCTGGATGTGAGTTTGAATATGGACGAAGGGGAAGATTTCACGGAGCAACAGATTGTGGGGCTCTCGGACAAAATACCTCTGGTGAAACCTTATTTCAAGAAGAAACAAAGGAAATTGGATGCCAAATGCCTCCACCGAGCCCTGGAGGATCCTATACTGACTACTTTGCTGAGCACAGATACGCTGGTCTCCGGGGATGGGGTGTTTGTTCCCCGGAACCAGCCGGGCCGGACTCCGGGGAATTTGTGCGCAGCGGCTGTAGTGAAACAGAACTGCCTGGGCCAGGTGTGCCTCAAAGACCGGGGCACCGCTGACAATGCCACCGCTGGGGCCGGTGTGCCTGGGTTGATCACCCAGGACGTTGATGTGGAAATAGCCGATACTACTACGGAGCTGGATGAGACTGTTCGGCGAGGGGAGCGACCTAAGATCAGCGATTCTTCCCCTGACTGCTTCCAGCTGAAACCGGGCCTCGGGGAGTCTGGTAGCGCGGTGACAATAACAGCTCCCAGCAGGGATATACCTCCCATAGTTGCACCCCAGGTTCCTCCACACCAGGAGGAGGCAATCAAAAGCAACGACCTCCTAACCTCTGGGGCAACAAATCCTCCAGTCAAAGACTGCACTGGAATCTCGGACCCCCTCCTCCTGCAGCCTGACAAAGGAGTGCTATTTCAGGACAAAAGTGAAGAGGCCTCACTGGATCTGGTTTTTGAGCTGCTCACTCAGCTCCAATATCACACACACCAGTCAGACTCAGTGGACATTTGTGTGGATTTCCTCCAGGGACTGTGCGTTTATGGCAATGACTGTGCCCACCACCACACCGTCCTGCCCTACCACTGGCAGATCCGCAAGAGCAGCAGCCAGACCTGGCAGAGCATAGCAGATGACTCCCAGGAACAGCTGGAGAGACTGTACTGCAACCCTGACAATGAGCAAGTCAGGCTAAAGTATCAGTAAGTATCCCGCTGTAGTGTTTACTGCAACCTGTACTCTGTGTTAATCAGTAGCATGTGTGCTACAAACTCCCTGGTTAGATACAGGACCCCTGCTACAGAGGGAAGCAGCATCAAAGTATTTCTGTTTTGTTTTTGGTTTTTTTTGGTTGGATCTTTGCCATCTGTGTCTGTGGGTGATGGGACAATTCACTTTGCATTCAGTCAATTGAAAGTAGGAAGTGAAACCACAATTCATGCCCCAAGAGTATCACCCTTCAGCATTTCTCTTTATTCCTGACAATTGTTTTCATATAAATTATAATATTTCCAATATAAGTGGACAATTAAACCGTTTCAAGTTTTAACCCAAATCCTCATTCTGTATAAGCGGGGCTGAAATTGGAGAATACTGCCACCACCCCAGTCCATTTGGTGTTGAACATGCTGCTGAAAGGACTGTTTGTTAGATCGATGGGTATTTGTGACATAGCAACAATGGTGCAGTAATCTGATAGGCTGCATGCAAGTGATAGTCTAAGCCACTTCTGGTTCAGAGTGTTGGAAACTGTAGACCTGAGTTTCCTCTTTGGTTTTGCCACCGGTGACAAACTGAAAACACTGCACAGCTGTTCTGTACATGCGTGGATGATGGACTGCAGACAAGTGACTGCTCCTCCCAATGCTGACTGTTGCTTTCACAGCTTTATAATGCACATGGTCCGTGTGTCCTTCTAGTTAATGTGTCACCTGCATTTACTGTATCTCTTTATTTGAACAGCTATCACGCCCTTGTGTAGGCATGGCCCTGATATTGGTTATCTATTTCCTGCACTTCCCTTCTTCCAAACCCAGATCTGTGATTGGCCAGAAAGCCGTCAAAAGCGAGGCTTTTTCTTTTCTTTCTTTCTTTTTTTTTTTATAGCACTCGTTGCAGAAAGCCGTGAACTTGCGTGACCCCCAGCAGCCTTGTGCGGTCAGTGACACAAACGCACTTGGCAGCTCTCTTCTTCCCTCGGTCATAAGCGTGCGTGTCACTGTGTACACTCGCACCCACACTCACACACGCACTGCTTGGCACGCAAACACTCGCACGAATAAACTGCACAGGGAAGCAAAGTGACTCGCAGTGCTCTCACGCTCGCCTTTTAGCAGACGGAGATAAACGTCTTTTTCTCCCTCGCCCCCATTGGGGTGACACAAAGGAGCATCTACTGCTTCCTGTGAAACTGTACTGTATGCAAGTACATTCACACTGTCACACACACAAAGGGTACTTGTACACATGTTTGACCCTAAGCTTTCAATCTCTTCTGCAGTGTTTGCGAGTTAGAGGCCTCCCCTCATTTTCATGTCATTATGTGGATCTAATTACAAGTGCACTTTATGTCAGTATAGTGTAATCTTAAGGCATTAACCCTATCCACACCCCCACTCACATTTAAAGCCCTTTAAGCACCTATGTGTTTGAGGTGTGCACCAACTTTTGTGTGTGTGTGTTTGACTTGTTGACTCATGTTTTCAGCTGAAACTATGCAAAGAGCATATTGCTCCACAAACAGGATATGCACCTGGTGGTGTCAACCCAGATTCTTCAGAGGCCTTTTGAGTGTGTCTCATACAGTAAGACAGGACCATCTGGCTCACTTGACTGAAACTGCAGTGGAAACCAGAAACGACAGAAACTTTTTACCAGCACATTTTCAATGTGTATATGTGGAAATTCTGTATCATATGAATAATCCTGTAATGACTGTTTTTGTTTTTCTTTACATAAAAAAAAAACTTTGAGGCATTTCAGTCAGTTTTCTTTTTTAGTCTGATGCTGGTGTATCTTCTGATGACTGGAGTTTTGTTAAAAGCTAATTTATTAATATATCTTTGCCATTTTTTAAGTGAATATACCCAAGTAGCAGAGGATACATTTTTAGTTTGGCTAAAAAGGAATTCTCCAACCCTGACCCTTAAAACAGGTTTGACTGTTTGTGGATGGTTGAATGAAAACACAACGTAAAACATTTTCACATGATCCTAGATAAGTCATTTTCTTGCGTGTTTAGCTTTTTATCGGCAAGAAGTAAACAGTGGCCAGTTTCTGGGTTTTTGGTTTTTTGGGGTTTTTTGTTTTGTTTTGATCTTTTTATTTTTCTAAGGTGGGCCATTATAGATTTTATTTACACCACAGGTAAGGACCGTAAATAAGCTCGTCTCTGGCAGATTCGATTATGTGCACTATGGGCAAACTTTAATATCGGTCGGGGGCTCTGAAAGCGGAGCAGCCTGCCGAATGATGACACACAAACGGGGGGAAAGTCGGTTAGCCGTGCAGCGTCGACACAAATCAGCTCATTCAGCCAACTGCTCAAAGCTTTGTGTAGCATTGGGTGTGTGTGAGAGCTCTTTTGATCGTCTTTCTTTAGAGATGCAACCCAGCTTGTCTTTTCATGCACGCAAGCAGCCACACGCACACACAGGGTGGAAGGCGTCACCGTGGTTACGGCAGCCAAATGATAACATCGTTAGCAGTATAAAGAGGAGCAGATGACTTAACAAGCTCTGCCGTCGGTATGGAGACACAGGCCCATTCGGCCTTTGGCCGCGTGTGTGTGGCAGGAAAGAAAATGCACGACTGCTTTTGTATATCTCCATCTGATTATGTTTTGCATGGCCTACTACAGGGCGTGTGAGTGTGTGTTCTGTGCTGAGCTGTTCCCGTGTGTGTGTGTGTGTGTGTGTGTGTGTGATCCATAACACAGGTTAATCCCATCCATATGATAAGCAGGAATGGAAGTCCGGTTAATCCGTTTTAGTCATGAACTCAGCAGTGAGGAGGAATGTCACAGTCATCGCTTCTAAAACTTATACTGTAATAATCCTGCACCGTACAGTTGTTCATTTGTGCTGCCGTGTGTGTGTGTGTGTGTGTGTGTGTGCGAGAGTGAGGAATAGTGTTCACTTTACAAGCTGATTGTGTGACAACTGTTACTTACAACAAAATACAAACTTTTTCCTGTAATATCTGTTTAAGGAGGAACTTTAGCACTTGACATCTTGCTGTGTGTGTGCGCGTGTGTGTGTGTGTGTGTGTGTGTGTGTGTCAGTCATGAAGACAGGCCTTTTTTTGATTAACCATGTGATAAAAGCTTTGCTTGTCATTAACTGGCATAAAGAGTCACTGAGCGCCAAGGACAGAGCAACCTGACACCTAGGTGTGTGTGAGTGTGTCTTTGTGTTTCTATCACAGGGGATTCTGTGTTACCTAGATGTGTTTCATGAATCTCAGAAAATCAAGGATGATTGTGTCTAAGTGAGCTGTGTTTGTTTGTGAGAGTAGAGGCAGTATCAAGATAGTCAGACTGGATGTGTGTTTGTGTGGATATAATGTGTCAGACAGATCACGCCATGAATCAGAGGGGCGAGGTCTGTGTCGCTCTGCCTCTCATTACTCAAGAGTCTGCCTCCATTTTTTTTTTTTTTTTTAATTCCAGCTCCACCTCCTTTTATTTAATTTAATTATTTTTTGTTCATAATAATTCCACACCAGATTTAATTTTTTTGTCTTCTACATTTCCTTGACGTGCCCATTTTCTTCCCTTTTATTCCTCTGTCTCGCTCCTTTTCTTTATTCCTTACTTTTCCCTGAAGGGCCCCAAAGAGGTGGGAGAGATGTCCCAGTGCTCTCAAGCAGAATCCTTTTCCCCGTGATTTCAAACAGTTTTTCTTTCTCTGGTCTTCTCTCCTCCCTCAAGTGTTAATTAAGTGTTGATTTAAATTCCAAACTCATTTGCTTATCTTCCCCCTTTTTCATCTTTTTTTAAAGCCTCACATTCTTTATAGGCTGGGCACCTTTAATATTTTCAAAAGAGAGGCTTAAAGGACTGAGAGAGGACACCCTGAGCTATGAGCTCAATTATGTGGACAGATACACTCATACTGGAAAAATCCAGGACGTGCAGGTGACGCGAGTGTGCACTTCTTCCTGTTCTGTGTGTGCGTGTGTGTGACTTTGTTGTGTGTTCACTGCCTGTAAAGCTAAAAAACAGGAACAAATGAAGCCTATTTAAATAGATAACTGGATTGTGAATACAAGGAAATAACACTAGTACGTGACATCAAGGGTCTGTGTGTGTGTGTGTGTGTGTGTGTGTGTGTGTGTGTGTGTGTGTGTAAAAGAAGTGTTCGTCAGCAGATTTGCTTGACTGACTGAGTTATCTGGGCGTGACTGGATGAAGTTTTGCGTGTACGTACATGAATCTGTCCAAAGAATGTGTGTGTGTACGTACATAGACGAGTGTTCCTCCAGTGTGTGATGTTCACAATAGCATGACTGATGTTGGAATGTGGGTCCTTTGGTGTGTAGTCATGAGAAAGTTTGAAGGTGTGTGTGCTATAGGCATATTCCTTAGGAGCCGCTGTCCTTTTTCCATCGCCTTGCCTGCTTGTAGTGTTGGGAGCTGCTTGGTACAAGTTCCTTTCCTTTTGGGTGCACCTTGGAAGAAAAGTGGGAGAAGCCCCGCATTTCCAGCATGGTCTTTGACTCTGCTAGAGTGGGCGTGCTTTGGGTCACTATCCAACTCTTGATTGGCCATCTTACCAAATCTCAGTTCACTTAATTTAACTGCTGGAATTTTATTTTTAAAATGGGGCAAACTAGATGGGGAGGAAGGGGCTATATGAAAGGAATTGGAAATAATCAACTCTGGAGACTCCAGTATTTGTCTGAATGTGCAGCGGGGAGGGAGAGAGTAGGATGTGTGAGAGGTAGATACAGAGGCTACATCCTTTTTTAAAATTTCCAATCAGTGTTTTATGTTGAAATGATAAGGTTGAAAAAGCAAGGCTGAGGTGGTTTGTGGAGATGGTGGAAATACTGGTCGGAGGAGGAAAATAAGACCTCACAGGAGGTTCATGGATGTAGTGAAGTAGGACACATGGTTGGAAGGGGTAGAGTGAGATGGAGGCAGAACTGGGTCAGAGGCTTTTCAAACAGTCTTTTTAGAGGTCCTACTAGACCAGAGTAGAGCAGACCTGAGGTGTAAATATAACAAGCATGCTTTTAAATGAAAACATATCAGCAACGACACTGTGGTAATGAGTGAGGTAGGATGGAAAGCTCAAGTTCATTTTCTCATAACACTTGTGCATGGTTTGTTAGTCAGCCACACACACACACACACACACGTGTCATCATTACATACCGTCACAGGCGAAAAACATTCTGTTCCGATACCATGAAAACATGTCACAGGAGAGCGCACAGGTGCAGGACAGGGTGAAACTAAAGATCAGCATCAGTGAAAATCAGATTTATTTATTTTTGTATCATCACTCCCTTGCACCTTTTTTCATTGTTGTTCTGTTTTTCTCTTCCATTTCTGCCTTTCATTTTCACATTAATACAGCTAGTCATTTTTTTTGTTTTGTTTTTTTCCCATTTTAAATTGAAATGCGTCTGCGTTAGTTGAGAAGAATTCAGAAAGTCGCAGGGATTATCTGCACCTTCTCTCTGTGTGTTTCTGGTAATCAGGTGATCTGATTATCAGTGACTCACTCTTCAGTTACTGTTTTGTTTCTGCACGTGCTCTCTAAATGAACTCTCATTTCACTTCCTATTCCAGAGATGTGTTCGCGGTATGACTTTGCAGAAATACAGATGTAAATTTAGGGTATGTAACTACCATTTGAGTCAGTGTTTATGCGAGTTTTCAAAAAACGAGACGGGACCTCTCATTATCACCTTCCTGTGAGACACTGGTGTGTTTGCCAGTAACCCCAGCAGCCAGTACCTGCACTTAGTGGATGAAACTGAAGACTTGTTTTCTCTTCGGCCATTATAATACGAGGTTTCACCGCTTCAGGCTGTTGAACTTATAAGGAGGTTTCAGCGCTACTGCTACTGCTGCTGCTCCACTTCTCTGTTTTTCAGTGGGAAACCTCTAAACTGTGTAGTGTACTTTTTTTAAAGTAACACACACACAGTCTAACATTTTCACGTTACATTCACTTAGCTTCTCACTAATATCAATGAGACCATTAACATCATCATGCAATGTGCCCGCTTCTATGGCTGTAGTGTCATGTGCATGTTTAGTGTGTTAAATATTTGTATAGATCGTGTATATGTGTGTCCTTGCCATAGCACGCCAGTGTGTTTGGCCACATTTATGTAAGTGGTATGTCTGACCCAGAAAGGATTTGCCGGAGGCTCGAGGGAGGACTAATGCAGCGCGACTGATGCACATGCACACACTCAGACATGCACGCAACAGTGTTTTTGACCCGCGTGTGTTGGGACAGAGAGGGGTTAAAGCGAGGTTGTATGGGCGTGAAAAGATTATGTGTTTCCCCTATTTATTTTTTTGGCAGATGGTAACTCTACTGTACTATGCTGAAGTGCATTCACTGACCACCTACAGCTACTAGATCATTATTCTGTAGGTTAACCTGATTGTTTGCTACTCGAAATAGCAAGGCTTTAGAGCAGGGGCTGGAGTATTATCATTATTATCATCATGTCTAGATTATTGTAATTCATTGTTCACTTGTCAAAGCAAAAACTCCCCGAATCGTCTGCAGCTGCACTAACTCCCCACTGAATGCAGAATTCATTTTAAGACTGTGGTTCTGACTTTTAGAGCTGTAGATGGACAAGCACCAGCTTACATCAGTGAACTTTTACATTCTTATGTCCCCAGCAGGTCCCTGAGGTCATGTGATCAGGGCCTGCTGGCTGCTTATCATATGAGGCTGAAAAGGACACAGCTTTTTCAACATTGGCTCTCAGACTCTGTAGCTCTCTCCCTCTGAGAGAGCTACAGAGTCTGAGAGCCTTAGATCTGTGGACTCGGTGATCTCTTTAAAAAACACACACACACAGAACAAAACAACTAAAAACTCACATTTTTAAATTTGTTTGGTTAACTTTTTTTTTTTTTAATGTTCTGGTATTTTCTTTGTTGATGTTTACTGATGTTTTGATTTGGAAGGGCTAACCTATCTTTTTATATAATATAAAATTTGCTAGGCAGCTATTTGGTTACTTACTGTAAAGATTTGAGAGCAATGTCAGCCATCGTTGTACATAATGAGAGAGCTGTTCCCATGAGCTGGTTCCATGGGGAAGTCAAAGTAAAGTTAATCCTAGTAACTTGCTCAAGGGCACTTTGAAGCACAGTTGTCATGTATGGCTTTCTGTTTTTCATTTGTAAGTCATTTACTTTAAATTTACACCCTATGCAGCTCAGTATAAGTGACTAAGTAGAGGTTTGATCATCCTGCTCCAGGGCTCACGGATTAAGTTAACGTTCCATCAACAGTTTCGTGCTTTGTAGCACAGCTTCTAATGGAAATATAAACTGTGACTATTTAACAACAAGGTCATCACTCCACAGCCCTGCGTGCTAGCCATCCGGGTTAATGTGCATTGCTGACTGCAGCGCTTAGCTACGTAGTTATTCTAATGACTTCAAACCTTGTGTTGCAGGGGTCGAGTGTTTGCCCTAGACTTTGGGACGATGCGAGTGTGCGACCTCGAGTTTGACTGCGTCCGACGACTGAGCACCCCCCCCAGCCCTCTACCCCTGCCTGCGATGAACCCAAACCCCACCCCCAGCTGTCACACAGTGTGGAAGTACTACTGCAGAGACAATTTTGGCTGGAGGGAATACTCCGAGGTGAGCCATTCGGTGCATTTATTTGTGTGTGTTCGGGTGCATTCAGGCTCTGCGAACAAGATGCCAGACACATTAGCTTCGCCCACATTAATCAATTGTCCAGTGATGGGGTGGATTTAGAAAAACAGCTCTCATGTACACAAACTACTTGCTTTTGTAACACAGCTTTTTATCCATGTGTGACCTTTTATTTATCGTCTTTGCAATGGCCACATTTGATTTACAGGTAAAATGGAAAAATGCAGAAGTTACCTGCAGAAAATGGTAAACAAATGTGTTTTCCCTCCCTTTCCTTCTGCTCCACAGCCTGTGGTTAAGCTCATAGAGGAGGCGAGTTCGAGAGGTCTTAAGGAGGTGAGGTTCATTACGCTCCAGAACCAGTATATCCTCAACATCAGGGAGGGCTTCCAGCAGAACGCAGTCTTCGGGTTCCGACGTCAGATCAAGAAGCGGCCCATGTTCATGTCCTCCGTGATTCTCACACCACACCTACAGTAAGTAAACATGGCTGATATTAGATCTAACTACAGCTTTGCTTTTGTGGTTAGGAGGTGAGCACTAATAGAGCTAAAGCTGGATCCAGAGGTTGAGGTTTTGGCCATGGTGAAGACATGGCTCGAGTAGATAAACAACAACACAGCTGAGATGTCTCCACAGTGACTTAGTGGATTTGCTCTCAGAGCATCACTTGCAGTAATGTAAGCAGAGACTCGTTTTTGTGAACGTGTTACTGTATTCATAGGAACTGTATTGTACTCTGCGCGGGCATTAGGCTTAGTTTAGATTGGGCGGAGTGATACACCCAGTATGGTGGCTGTTCTGAACTACCTAATGTGACGGTTGTTGTGATGCAGACTTTAAATAAAGGACTGCATCTGAGGCCAAAGCTGTTAATCACATAATGACTATTGCCAAGATACACCCAGCCTTATAGTAAGTAATGCCAGAAAACGACTTTTTCCAGAGCTTAGTATTGGTACTAATTAATAGTAGCAGTTCTCGTTTGAAAGGTAGCAGTCATTAACTAGATTAATAGCCTTGCTTTTCTGTTTTTCCCTGCTGGCTTGCCTTTGTACTTTCCAGCAGAGCTGTCTAAATCGTTTAGCACTTAGATCAGAGAACATTTAGTATTTTTGCACATGAAGCAACACTGACTTCTAGAACAAAGTTCTGCGTTCAACACAAAAAAAGTCCCTGGCAACATGTGCAAAGTCACTCGCACACAAAGTTGATTCTTGAGTATCTGACACGCCATCTTCTTGTGGCTCTCTGTGTTCTCTGAGCATCCTGAATTTGTAGTTTGGAGACGCTGCAGGCACACAGAGGTCGGTACATGATGTTAATGTCACAGTCAGCGTTGAATACTGAACACTGTATTCACATTTTATCTTTTCTGCTGCACACTGGCAGCCTGAGCTAAACTCAAACCCCATCTTTACCACGGCACAGATTTTTGGCACGTCAAACAGAGTCACTGGGACACGGGGAGATGTCCTGTGCAGAGCGAAGCAGATGGACGGGAAAATGAGATAAAGGAGGCAAACGAGAACAGACGAGTCAAGTCGAGAGACGGGGCAGAGGCAGAAATCAAGGAAAGGGTGAAAAGAAGCAAAACATTAGCGCTCCAGATCTAGCGAACCTTTTCTAATGCGTTTCTTTCCCCTCTTTTCTTTTTAAAAAAAAATAAATTCTTTCTTTAGCTCAGTCAACTTCCTGTCCTTATAGCAGTGAAGTGATCTGGCTTGCAGCACTCGGGTCTTATTTTTGAAACAAGTAATACCAGATTGGAAACAAGTGGAGTCATTTCACCCCATTTGCAGAATCTTTCACTTCCTTTGCCGAGCAGGCTGCTGTAGCGGTGTCCTGCCAGTTTCCCACACAGAGCGAACGCTAGAACGAGCTGTTCCTACCGGGGCCCTGACAGGCAGGGGAAGACAAAATGGAGAGCAGGAGATGGAGGGAGAAAAGGAGAGAAGGAAAAGAGAGAGAGAGGGAGAAGGAGGGAGACGCAGAGCACAGCTGAGGAAGTGAATGAGGTCTAAATGGTTTCCAGACTGGGTGCACAGCAGAGTGGAGTTGGTGAGTGAAGGAGTGTGAAATGTTCCTGTGGGGAGCTGGAATTTGGATTGAGTGACTTGTTATGGGACGTTGTCATCCATTTGGTGTGTGTGTGAGCTTCAGTTAATTACTTTATCTGATCACAGTCACACAATGGGCACCAAAAAAGAAAAAAAAAGCTTCTAGCCAGGCGATCCAATAAAATGGGAATTTTATTTGTGCAAAGGAATGGCTGTCAGTCCGTCCGGTGTCCTTTCGAGTGACCTGAAACAGTTTGTTGGCGTGTGTGTGTCTGTGTGTGTGTCTATCAGGAACAATCTGTGCTTGAGGTCATTAGCTTGATTGGCACTCTCCCCCCTCACTCCCCTCCCCACCACTCTCCCCCCGCCTTCCTTCTGTCATCTCTTTCTGCTCTGCCGGTGTTATTTTCAGCCATCTCCTCCCCTCTCTCCCCCCCTTGTTATCTGCCCCTAATCTTCCTCCTTTTCTTTTTTTCCTCACTCTTTTCTCTCCCCCAAGTCCATCATTCTCGTGTTATCTGTCCCTTTTCATTTCACACTTGTTTTCTGCAGCAGGCTGTCTGTGATCTCTTCAAAGCACACAGGGAATAGAGACATCGATTTCAGGGAGGAGGGGGGAGAGATCGAGACCGGACAGACAAGATAAGCGAGAGAGAGAGAGAGAAAGGAGATGAGAAAAACTGTCGCACCGACTTAGAGTCACTCTGATCACAGTCTCCTGACAACGCGCGCACACACACACACACTCACTTTCTTATGGCTGATAGCACTAACAGCATTTACACTTGGAGGGCGATAACTTGACAGCCAAACTACTGTTACCGACTCAAATGCCAGACGTAATAGTTTTCTTTTTTTGTCACTTTTTGACAGCTCCACAATGGGCATTTTATTTCCCCCCCCTCGTGTCTTGTTCTCGCTCCTGTCTCTGCTTCACTTCGCCTCCCTGTTGTCTTGTTTGGTGTCTGGGTTTCATTTTCGCGCAGTCCTGTTGTTTTGTTTGGTCGGTGATGGCTGACGGCTGCTGAGGAGCTGCTCCGCTCCCCTGTGCGGTGATGTCATTGTTGACAGTCAGTGGCAGATGATTTTTAGAGAGCGCGCTCGTGGAAATGCTAGTCCACTGCGGCAGGCAGGCGGGCAGTTTTGTTTCACTCTTGGGGATTTTTGGGTGTGTGTATGGGGGGAGGGGGGGGTATTGATTGTAGGCATATGGGAGCACAGCTATAGGAAGGTGGAGAGATGGGGAGTGTGCTGGGGTGCCATTAGGTGATGGTTTGGTTGCTGTAAATTCCTCCAAAGCTGCTCTCACTGACCTTCAGCAGGCATGGATAAAGGCAGATGAAGAGAGATGAGGTTTCAATAAAGGGCAGCAGCTATCATCCCTCTGTGAAGCACACTTGATCAGAGTAATCGGCGCTTCTGATCCAGTCACAGTTGTCCGGTCTTTCTGAGCATCGTGTGGAGGCCTTTTCATAATGCGGATTCTCAACTATGAGCAGTTTATTGATATTTTTTGTTGTCTTTTTTTTTTGTAAACAGACCATACTTCAAAACAATTGAAGTTGGTGAGAGCCCCTCCTGTGTCACACATTCCTCAGTGGCTTAGGGGCTAAGTTACCTCTCACTCTGTCCCTTGTATGTTGAAGGTCGAGGGTTCAAGTACAGTGTGGGGTGTTTTTCAGGGTGACACTTTTTTGTCTATATTATGTAATCCTCATCAACACACTTTTCAAAAGTCATTTTTATATTTTATTTTTTTTAACTGTAAATATTTTCCCACGCACAAAATGATTGTGTACTGCGGAGGGACAGCTTTACTACAGCAAGGTAAATGTCCCTGAACAGTGAGGGTGACTACACTTTGAATACAAAACCAGTATGGCAGAAATTATTATGATCACTCAGAGTAATCCCATTATGTACCAGGTAGCTGCTATCTCAGGTACAGTACACTTGTGTTTATGAGCCATCTCTCTTCAACTCTGTTAGCCAACCCCTTTATCTCTGGCTTTTTAGCTGCACTGAAGTCAAGCTACAGATTGAGTCCACTCATAGCAACAATCCCACCACAGTTTCTCCAGAAATTGCGTAGTCTAGTTATTTATAAGATTGCATGCGAGTAAGATCATCTCACTGCCCTCTAATTAGACGTAACTTACATAATACTTCCTAGTAACATTTTTAATGACTTTATATTGCATGTAAAATGAAATGAATCATACTTTATTCAAGGTGACAGAATTAGCACACAGCTACAGCTGCTTTCTTATATGTGATTGGTCGGTAGTACTCAGGCTACAAACCGAAAACGTCCCTTTGCCTGCAGATCTGAGTATAGAAATTCGAGCTGCACTAAATATTTTTCATGTAAACCTCATCACAACTTCCCAGAACCAAAACTGATGTGTATAAATGTTTGTTTTGTCTGATCAAGCAACTTGCAAATTCATAAAATGTCTTTTATCCCATTCAGTTTGATAATCAAACAGCCTATTGTCAGTAGCTTGGTTTGTCCTGAATATAAATATATTTGTCTATATAATGTGCAGTATATGCCCTAAATATGCTATTAACATAGGAAATAAGTAACCATTAATGATATTTCTTACACTACTGTCAGAAATCTAACGCTTCATTTTCTTTCTTTCGTTTTAGGACTTTGAGCGGCCTCTCTCTATCTCCTCTCAGCTGTTCGTCGTCCTCTTCCTCATCCTGCTCATCATCCTCTTCCTCCTCCTCATTATCATCATCCTCCTCCTCTTTGTCCATGGACCTTCCTGCGTCATATCCCCTCTCGCCAACTACCACCAACCCACCCAGCCTTTTTCCTGAAACGTGGTTGCCAATGACCATGAGCCAGGACTTCCTTCAGGTGCCGGTTTCCCGCGAAGACCGCAGCTACAGGACGGTGTACAGCCTGTTCCACAAGACGGTTTCGGAGACCAAGTTCAGGATCATCAAGATCCTACGTGTGCAGAACCCCTTCCTATGGGAGAAGTATAAGAGGTGAGAGGAGAAGCAGATTATTATAGAGATGTCTTTTAATCATGTATAATTCCTACAAACTTTAACCATGACACCAGGAAACTTTTCTGTCAGTAAGTGTGCTGGCAGGGTTGCATGTATTAATTTCTTTTGCATGTAGCTTCTTTTTTTTCATGCTTTGTGGGAAAGCTGTGGCATTCGAATTTGATGCATGTGTGGTTGTGTTGTCGAGCACAGCTCTGCTGAAATAATCAACATCTACGATGTCATGAGAAAGGCACGAGTTTCAAAACTTGTTTTGACAGTCGAGAGATTTGACCTCACTTGAGGACATAAAATAAGTATTGATGTTAACAGCAACGATCTGTGTTTTATATAATGAACCCATAGTGTTGCTGAAGTTGCACCAGAGTACGGTGGTAGTTTCACAGACTTTGCTGTTGCGGTGCAGACTGGGTGTTAATCCTTTTTATTCAGATATCTGTTATTGAAGTCTAAAACGTTTAAGACTGAAACGAAAATCAAAAAAAGGTTTAATGTAAAAAAATGTAAAGAGTGGGGAGGTAAGAAAGAAAGAAAGAAAATAGGCCAAATGGGAGCAGCTGTGTGGGACTTCGTGAGAACGAGTCAGCAGTGGTGTGTGAAAACAGCAGATGGAGAGATGTTTGGTGATGATGATGTTCCTGTCTTCAACACACAGGGCTAACCGCTGTGATTAGTGCAGGGCAAGGCCTATCAGCTGTGACAGTTATACTCTCCCACACGGGTACCACACGGTTTCAAAATGACTGAAGGTGTGTGTTTCTGTGCGTGCGTGTCACTGAATTTGAAAGTGTTGCCCCCCCCTCTGAATGTCGGTAGAGTTCCTCTTCCCACACTCTGGTTATGACAGGAAACCCATAACTGCTTGTTTGCTTGTCTGTTTGTGCGTGTGTGTGTATTTGCACGCAAATGACTTGTGAAATGTTCATGTGAAAAGAGAGCGTTTATCACCTCTTTTCTAAATTTGGAAATTAAGTGTGTGTGTGTGTGTGTGTGTGTGTGTGTGTGTGTGTGTGTGTGTGTGTGTGTGTGTGTGTGTGTGTGTGTGTGTGTGCGCGCGTCACTAACTGAGAGATCATGGGAGGTCATGCCAGGGTCACAGCCTTTCTGGCCTGAAACACTTTCAAAATGAGCAGCGCGTTACAGCGTCACTGTACCGATCGTTGCGCAAGAACCAGATTCAGGGCTGCGTTTTTCCACAGTTTCAGTGCACGCAAGGTTGTGGTCACAGTTAGTGTTAAGTCGTATTTTCTCATCAATACAGTCTGTGTGTTATTTTCTGAAATGAATGAATCGCTGACAAATCCCCTTTCGCCTCCTCTGCTCCAACAGGAAGAAGGAGTACATGTCGCGGCGCATGTCGGAGAGGGACCGGCAGCTGAGCGAGCGTCACCTCTTCCACGGCACCTCGGCCGACGTGGTGGAGGGCATCTGCAAGCACAACTTCGACCCCCGAGTCTGTGGCAAACACGCCACCATGTTCGGACAGGGATCCTACTTTGCCCGTAAAGCTGTCTACTCGCACAACTTCTCCAAACGCTCGCCGAAAGGAGTCCACTGCATGTTCCTGGCCAAAGTCCTCACTGGAAGGTAGGTGTGTGCGTGCATGCTTGTGTGGACACTGATAAGAAAACATCTCCAGTTATGGGTGGAGTTTTATTTATCTGGAGGGGGAAAAATAACATCTCATTTGGGTTAAATTGCTGGGAATATATTGGCTTAATCGTGTGATTTGTGTGCCTCTAAAGCAATGGCCCCCACTTATACCACTCACAGTGCTTTGCTTTGTTTAATTGTTCCCCGTTTACATCTTAGCTAGATGTAAATCTGCTTTGGTTTAGAGGAGGTCGGAAAGAACATAGTTTGGTAAATGCTAAATCAAGGCCTTATGTGTCCTGGGTTTATCGCTGGCTTGCGCGGTTTAGCGTCCCTAATGAACCGTTTGCAGTGTTTGACAAGTATGTTCCCTCCAGTGCACGGCTCTGCATAAACAACTTTTCCTTTTTGACCCCCGTCTCTCGCAAACGCTCGAGTACTTCTACATTTCGATTTACAGAACACATCGGCATCAATCTGGATCGTGAGAAACCGGAGGTTCTTTTCCATAAACCATCTTTCATGTCATACTATCGTCATGCTACACAAATTCCTTTTAAAATGCAAGTCAAATGTAGAGCCACACATGTAAAACAGCTGATTTGGCTGTGCCCATCGTACGTTGCCGGCTTTGTTTTGCTGCAGCAGAGTGTGTGGTGCACCCAGGGGATTGTGTGGCGGTTTAGGAACAACACTCTGTCTGTAAACCTGGGTCCAATCTGTTCCACGGCATAAGCGTCAGACCCGAACAGCAACACAGACTCCACGTCTCTACCCGCTGCCTTTGTCTTATTTATGATCCCCGAATAAGCAGCACAGAGACTGATGGATGACGGGTCTTTGGGGATTGACATGAATATTTAAGCGAGGAAAAACAACCCGCCTACAGTGCACAGTTTCATTTCATACAGTCGCTACATGCTGTATTATATGAAGTGTGGCGAAAGATACGGCAGTCTTGTAATCTTGAAATTTAGATTTCTGTGTGGTAAATTATTATCTTGTATCTCCAGAGTCCCAGCTCCTTAACTGAGCTTTTCTGTTTTCCTCTTTGTTTTCACACAGGTATACTGTAGGAAATCCCTCTATGCGACGGCCTCCACCTATCAACCCTCGTGACGCCTCTAGCGACCTCTATGACTCCTGCGTGGACAACTGGATGGACCCCCAGATCTTTGTCATCTTCAATGATGACCAGAGCTACCCTTACTTCATCATTCACTATGAGGAGGTGCCCAGTACAGTCGCTGTCTGAGCCAAGATTGCAACGCGGTGTCTGTATTTGCAAACACTTAATGTGCAGAGTCTGTTCAGGTTGTAGATGAGTGGATCTACTCATCTACAGCCACTTTAAAATAACAATTAAGACGAATTAAAAAGAAAGTATATGTCCACTTTGGTTTAACAGACTCTATTGTAATCGGTTTGTTACACTAAATTTAATCCAACTGAAGGTGAAACCAGTCGAAACAGACTAAAAAATGTTTGCAAATACTCGGTGTTCCCGGTCTGTAGTCAGCTGGATCCACCTAGCCTGGACTGCATCAAGGAATAACAGACCGGATTCATCTGGACGAAACTGGACTAGCAAAGGACACACCTGTTTTAATCTACTGTTCAGAGGTGGATGACAACTGAAAACAGCTGCAACAGACTTGAGTGGACTCGTATAGCACACTTTGTCTGCTGTGGACAAGTGATTATCGTCACTTTGGAAAAAGACGAAATGTACTTATTTGGAGCAGATGCAGGTAAAACCCAATCTAGCCCGCACCCCCACACTTAGCCTAGCCTGGCTGCCCCTCCTTGAGCCTGCTTCTGATGGAGGTCCCTTCCTGTTAAAAGGGAGTTCTTCCACCCCGCTGTTGCCAAGTGCTTGCTGACGAGAGCCTGTTGGGTTTCTCTCTGTAATACTGTGGGGTCCTTACCTTACATTATAAAGCGCCTTTGGGATGACTGTTGTTCTGAACCTGCGCTTATATAAATAAATAAATTTAATTGGGTAATTTTGACTTGTACATGATCGTGGTTCCCACTGGACAAACGCTGTAGTAGACAGTTGGCGTCCTCTCAGTACTGTGAATGACCACCTGGCCACATTATTATTTTGAGGAAGCTGCAACAGACCAATCAGAGGCTTCCACAGAGAAGCTGTTGGAAACCCTGACCCTCCTGTTAAAGTGTTTACCCAGCCTCCGACCCATTTTCAAGTATATGTGCTGCGTGTATGAATCTTTTAAGTTTAACAGACATTTATTTTGTGGCCTCTTCTTACCAGAGGTGGATGTGAGTTTCAGAGGGACTTTCCACATACTGTTAACCTCATGGCAGAGGATTCACGTGAAGCTAGTGCTGCTCCCGGATGCCGTTTTAGCTGTTGTGCCCACCGCTTAGGCTCCTTTGAGGGGCTGAGGCGTGTACGTCATGCTGAGACATAATGCTGCTGCAACGGCGGCAGCGCTGTAGCGTTCTGTCAACAAACCCCCTTGAAACTCATCTCTCTCGGATTGCTCTGTCGCTCAGAGACGGTAGAATTTCTTTTTGTTTTTGAGACAAGGTGTACAGGCGTTCTTTGTTTATATTTGAACTGTGTGCCTTTTGTTCATAAAAATGTTTATTTATGTTAGTTTAATGTAACATTGGTTAAATAAAAGAATCTAAAAGAGAAAATGACTGACTGGTCAACCTGTGCTTTATTCAAATCGCATCATTCATTAGTAACTTGTGCTAATGGTGTTTTTATTGGATATTTCTGTATATAACAAAATCTGTATAATTCTAAACATCAGTTTTAACAAGCGCTCCAACACCCCTGACAGAAATGTAGCCCCAAACCATGACAGAGCCTCCACCGTGTTTTACAGATGGCTCTATCGCTGTCCTGACCTCCGCCCTACATATTGAGGATAAAACCCCAAAGTTTCACATTTAAAGGCATCATTGCATCACATCTTTTGCTACTGATTTTCAGTCCAGTCCAGTTCTAGTTTTTCATAGATTCAACTAAAGAAATGGGGGAGAAATGATGTTTGTGTGACAGCTGCTAGTAACAAAGTGTCTCAAGATATCATTTAAAACTGGTTCTTTGCGAAGTTACACCTAACTCAACATTCTTCTAAAAATGTCTAAACTGCTCTTCTGGGAGCGATGGGAACGTCGCTCGATCAGTTCAGCTCAGAAGACGACTGCTGACACTTTCACCAAACTCAGATCTATTCTAAAGTCTAAAGAAAAGAAAATAAGATACAAAGACAGTCAAGTGCAGTTGCTGGATTTACTATAAATACACTAAAATCCAGTAAACAAAGTGTGGCTCATTAATAGTGCGCTGTATCTTAAGTCAGAATGCATTGCTTTATATCCACGATGCTTCAGCTTCTTTTCAGTTCAGTGAAGTCAACAATAATCCTTCTAACTGCCACGAAGAAACACTGGCTTGATGTATTGAGACAAAAGCATTTGTTTTATCTTCTAAAGATACAACATGGCCTGTGCAGCTTTTATTCTGTTATATTTATACAGTTGTACGCTGGTGGATGCGCTTTTAAACATGGCAACAATTTGAAGTAATCCCTGTGAGCCACAAGCTAACTGTTTAGTTTCAGACCATTATTTTTCTACTGTCGGCTCGATAAAATATGAATGTAGTTATGTTCATCTGGTCAGTGGCGGTCCTAGCCAGTTTGGCGCCCTGGGCGAACACTCCCTCTGGCGCCCTCACCCCACACACACACACAAAGCATATTAAGGATTGTACATTAACATAAAATTGTTGTACACACACACACACACACACACACACATATGAAGAGAGAGAGAGTATGCATAGTATGCAAACGGCTACCAAACAACCATCATAATTCGTCATACAATGAGAACAGTACGAATCATCAACGGACAATGACTAATTAATATTAAAATCTGTAACATAATGTATTGTTTGGAGTTTAGTCTGTTACTGTTGCTATTTTTACCATTTCTTCTGTAACCCACATATTTTCCTTAGGGATTAATAAAGTATTCTGATTCTGATTGTTTCAGGATGACCTGCCATTATCCAATGACACATCTGCTTACCTGCATCTTTTGCTCGTTTCTCCTCCTCTTCTTTTCTCTTTTTCTAAACTTCTGTAGTCTGTATCATAATGTCTGGTGTTTTCGTGTTTGTTGGTTTATTTTTATTTTGTTTTACTTTGCGAGTTGGTTATTAGATGCTGCCCCCGCCGCCCCGCCCTCTCCTCTCTGCGCCGCAATCAGCAGGCGCACCTCGCAAACGAAGGGCGTCCTTACTCCCAGCAAATGGGCGATAGAAAACCGATCGGTGCCTATGCCATTCCCAATATGCGCTGGCTGACGTCGGGGCAGCATGAGTACAAGCTTTTTTTTTTCTTTTTTTTTTTGCTGATGCCCGTGATGCCGCCCCCCACCACGATGCCGCCCCGGGCAACCGCCCGTGTCGCCCGTATCTAAAACCGCTACTGCATCTGGTCCACAGCATCCACATCTATTTGCTTTTCAAACCTGCCAATGAGGGGCAGCCGATCACAAAAGAGGAGGAGCTGGAACAGCTTGCTTCAGTCAGACAAGTAGCAAAGGCTCTGCACAAAGGTGCCCTATAAGATCAATAAGGTTTGTTTTGAACTTGGAACCACAGCTAATCTAGCAAATAAAAATATGGAGCTGGAAATGAACATAATTAGTCCTCCTTAAGGGCACGTCTACTTGAGATTGTAGCTGAAGCAGACTGCCAAGTGTTTTCTATTATGCAACTGGTCAGAAGTCTGCATTAAAGTTTAACCGACAGTGTATGAACTCCAGGTGAAAAATTTAATTGGCCACTATCATTAAATTATAGATGAACATTTAATTGTGTAGTTGTAAATCATTTATTATAAACCGCAGAGGCGGTTTATAATAAAGTAAGTCAGAGTTTTCAGTGTCCTCAATGGTGGATTCTGTTGGTGCAGTAACTCAGAAAACAAAAATCTCCTATGCTCAGGTCTCTCTGTCTCCACCTTCCCTGAATCTCCTTCCCCTCATCCCCACAAGTATATTATCTAAGCACCATGTCTAATGCAGTCCAGAAGGAGGTTGGCAGAGGCGAGGATCAATCCCCTAGAAATCGCTCACAGAATATCTCTCCATATCTATTTATCTCATCTGTTGGTGTTTCGGACTTGTTTGTGAGTTGTATTTGTTTCCAGTGCTACCATTTAGGCCATTGGTGGACATTTATACTGTATATATATCCAGTGTCTTTCTGTTCAGCACATTAAACCTGAAGAGTGTTTGAAAGTGTGTGTTTCAACATATAGCAAACACAATCAGTGCTGGTATTTTGCCAGTCAGGATCTAGATACGATCTCTGGGTAATATGGGGCAGGACGGTGGTGCAGAGGTCAGTAATCAGAAGTCCTGGGTTTGAATCCAGCATCCTCCCAGGCCCTTTCTGTGTGGAGTTAGGTTAATTGGTGCCAGATTGGCAACCTGTCCAGGATGCACCCTGCCTCTCGTCGTGTGACAGCTGGGATAGGCTCCCATCTATCTGTCAGTAACATTTGATACGCAGTAATTGACAGGCTATCTGCAAGCGTCCCAGCTATCCTGATGTGGCTATCCTCATCTATCAGCAGCAACCTTTACCTTTCATCTGCTTTGTCTCTCTCTAAATGCATCCTTCTGTCTCGGGTTCAGGCAGCTCATGTAAGACTGTCGTGCTGGGCTTCACTTTTTGGCAGAAGAGAGATCAATTGGAGAGACTGAGTGAAAGGAGGGGACGTGGAGAGAGAGAGGTGGGGGGAGGAGGAGAAGGACTTCTTTTACGCGCTCTCTTCGAGCCTCCTCGCTGAGCTGCGTGCCCGCTCTTCTCATGTGCATGCGAGATCGCGCAGGTTGCCCTCCATTTGCCCCCATCTCCCACTCTCTCTACGTGTCTTTCCTCTCCCACTCTTAATCTCCCTTACCGCCTTTTGCACTCTCAACACTTTTTTTTTTTACCCCCAATCTCCTTCTGTTCCCTCTCATCGCCTCTTAACAGCTTCATATCTTTTTGCTCTCTCATCTTAATGATTCTACCCCTTTCCTCTCGCTCTGTCTCTGTATCTCTGTGAGTCATGCAGTGGGCACTGCCTGGGTTTGTTTGCCTGACTGCCCTCCAGGAATTGCTGCTGGCACACAGAGAGCACTACTCTGTAGACCTGCTGGCTGCTGGGGTTAGGAGAGGACAGACGAAAGGAGGGGGAGTGCAGGAGTAGATGAAGATAGGGGATGAGAGGAGAGACGAGATGAGAGAGACAAGGGATGTGTGAGAGCAGAATAAAAAAAAATGGAAGAGGGACAGAGGAGAGATGAGGCTGCGGAAACACAAACAGGACTCGGTCTGTGTGAGAGAAAGATAAAGTATAGCCATCATAAGAACAACGACAGAACTTTGAATTATTCAAAGGAGTGTGTTGCTTCATGCTGTGTGTGTGTTTATGTCTTAATGTTGCTTGCTCATTTAAAGTAAGACTCTGAATGGAGACTGGGCTTCTAAAACAGATCCAAATCAATTTGGATGGATTTATAATTCATTTGGGTCTCATTGTACATTAGCTTCAAATGTGCACCTACACGCACACACAAGCAGACATACACAAAGACACACACACACATGCATCAGTTTGATTCCAGCTCATTAAATTTTCCAGTCTAAATTATTCAGTGGGCAAAAAGGGCTTTTCTTTGTAAAGAAATGAGACAGTAAACACTCCCAAACTGATTTGTAACATGTAGCAGTGTGCATGTAAAATTGCCTTTGCTGGTTTTACAGTCGGGGCTTGCATTTTACTCGTTGTGTTATTTTATCATCTTATAGACGACAATGTAACCAAGACAAGCAGCAGAACAATGGCACGTTTGATCTGCTGCGGGCTGTGTAACAAAGCAGGCAGTTATTTCTTCGTGTGAGATGCAGTTTCACACATAACATCTGCATTTGACTCAAGAATTTTAGAGCTGAAACTCTGTATTTTGCTTTCTCGCAGCACTCAATAACTGTCACAGCCATTTTTTATTCTATTCAGTTTTATTTATATAGTGTCATAGTACAAGAACAGTTGTCTCTGGTAGCTTTATACTGTAAAGTAAAGACCGTACAGTAAGACAGAGCAAATAAAGAAAACCCAAACAGCCAGATGATGATATGAGCACGAGCTGGTCCAACTAAACACAAACTGGATGTGACCGCAGGATGCTGTGGTAACCATAGTATGCCTTCAATATGCCTTCAATTTTGAATAAATTCCAAACAGGTCACCAGCAAAGCATCCCTACACCATCACAGGTCCATGCTTCAAGGTGGAAACCATGCATGTAGAGACCATCCGTTCACCTTTTCTGCGTCACACAAAGACACGGTGGGTGGAACCAAAGATCTCAAATTTGGACTAATCTAACCAAAGCACAGATTCCCACTGGTCTATTCCTTGTGTTTCTTGGCCCAAATAAATCTCTTCTGTTTGTTGTTTTTCCTTAATAGTGGTTTCTTAGCAGCTATTTGACCATAAAGGTGTGATTCACACACTCTCCTCTGAACAGTTGATGTAGAGATGTGTCTGCTACTCGGGCTCTGTGTGGTATTTTTCCTGGGCTCTAATCTGAGGTGGTGTTAACTTGTGATTTCTGAGGCTGGT